GATTACAAAAGGCACATATTTTATTTAATTTTTTGTAAAACGACAAAAATAAAGTCTTAATTTTTCATGAGTAAATAACTAAAAGAAACAAAATAAAAAAACAACACAAACTCTTTGTACAACACAACACAAAACTCTGTAATAAAAAAAATGAATTTTTTAGGGAGTATTTGAGAAAATTTCTCTAAAGATTATTTTCATGAAAAATAACCCTTAACTAATCGACTATCTACAGACTTTTAAATGAAACAAAAAATGAACAAGATACTGTAAATCCCCCAAAATCATCTATCTACAGGGAGGTCAAAAGTCGTTATAGATGATTTCTTCAAAAATGTCATTCGCAGAAAAGTACACTCATTTTATTTTAAAAAAGAAATACCAACGCTAAACAAAATTTTAAGTGAACTTTCAGAGCCCAAAAACCAGTAGAAACAAATTATGGGCCGTCTATGGGCCGTCTTACGAGAGTTGAATTTTTGCTGGGAAAAGCAGAACAGGAAGTCAGTTCTTATCGATAAAGATGAAATTATTTGTTGGCGAAGATCCTACTTAAGATCAATTAGAAAATTCCGTGACGAAGGGAGGAATATTTATTATCTAGACGAAACTTGGGTCAACGAGGGATATACTGTAACAAAAGTATGGCAAGATAAAAATGTAAAAAGTTTTCGACAAGCATTTTTGGATGGACTTTCAACAGGGTTCAAGGCACCTTCAGGTAAAGGGCGAAGATTAATAGTGACACATATAGGTAGTGCCAGTGGTTTTGTAGATGGCGGTTTACTTTTATTTGAATCTAAAAATACAGGTGACTATCACGAAGACATGAACGCAGATGTTTTCGAAGAGTATTTTACACAGATGTTGGATCTTATTCCTCCGGGGTCTGTAATTGTCATGGATAATGCCAGTTACCATTCACGGCAGACCGAGCGGACGCCTACGACTGCTTGGAGGAAAGCCGATATAATTCAATGGTTATCCGGAAAAAACATTTCTTTTGAAACAAATATGGTGAAAAAGGAACTTTTGACACTTGTCAATCTTAATAAAGATCAGAAAAAATATGTTATCGATGAAATGGCAACAAATCGCCAAATAACGGTACTACGGTTACCACCTTATCACTGTGAACTTAACCCAATCGAATTAGTCTGGGCGCAGGTAAAAGGAGATGTAGCGCGAAATAATACGACGTTTAAATTAAGTGACGTGAAAATTTTGTTAAAAAATTCCTTGGAACGAGTAACTGCAGATAACTGGCAAAGATGTATACATCATGTACAAAAAGAAGAGGAGAAAATGTGGGAACTCGATAATTTAATTGACGTTACTGTGGAACCTATCGTTATCAATCTAGGAGACGAAATAAATTCATCAGAATATTCAGAGGATGAATTTTAATATACCAACTTTTTATTTTCTTTATTGTACATTTATACAACACTACATTTACTCACCATAATTTGAATTTTCAAAATACATATATTTTTGTGTGGAATAAAAGTCTATTCATTAAATTTAAATAAATATTTTGATAATAATATTGAATAATTTTATTTGAATTACTAAAAACCCTCTTAACCCGGTTATGATGCTTAAAGTAGCCTCATGTTTTGAAATGCTGTTTTTATGATGGTTATGATGCTTAAAGTAGCCTCATGTTTTGAAATGCTGTTTTTATATTGTTTACTAAACTTATAAGAGAAATGGACCGAGAAATTGAAGCGGCATAGACAAAGACCGATAAATCATAATATAAAAATATTGAATATAAGCACCAGTACTACATTTATTTACGATTTGCATACATAATATATTACCCTCTTTCATTTCTAAACAGACATTTTCTATTTCTGAAGTCTCAACCCTATGCTATATCCATAAAAACCTAACCTCAAACCCTTGAAACATTCTCAAATCCACAAAAAAGTAAGTGGATAGTAAGTAGATTAGACAGATAAAATTACATTCGATAAATTATAAAAATTCAACAATTTCAGCTAAAAAACTCAAACTCAAAATCTATATTATTTGTCGTGCTACTTAAAATATAAATCTGGCATATATTTTCCGTTGTTTAAATTGTTTCTAAGTTCATGAGCACAACAAAGCAGATGGGCGAACAGAAAAGCAAAATTTGTCATTTGTGAAAAATATAATTAATTAAACGGCACACTAGCTGTTTATTGTGATGTTTCTCTAAGTGACACATGTTTTCAAACATATTACGAAATTTAAATAACAGATCCATTGACAAACCTGACGAAATAGTCGTTTGATGATCGAGTTAAATTAGGTTAAATTGCGAAAATTCACATTTCTGTAGAAAAGGTGCAATGTACATTAAAATGTAGATTTAGCAGTTTTATTTATTATCAGAAAAATATATTTCCGTCGCTGGCTACTAGTTAACTGTATATTAACACTTTTTTCTGTGTATTCATCGATGGTTTGACTATACACGTTGTTTTATTATTAACTGTCCAAACTTAAAATTTCGAATTGAAAACTGTTGTGAAAGTAAAAAAACCTACTTACAAAAAGGCTTTATAAAAATTCGATTCGAAAATGTCAAGCAATCAAGTTAAGCATGAATAAAAGAACATATTATTTATAAGACTTCTTTCGTCGTTTTTTGCAACTTGAAATAAACCCCTTAAATTGACTAATGTTGGTGGTCCTGAATCTCGAAAACGAGGCATTTCCGTCACTAAAGTTTGGCCAAGCATTCCAGTTACATCCTGTATAACTGAATTTTCACCGTGGTAAAAATCAATACCCTCGAAAGTGAAACAATGATTTGAAACAATCCAAATATACAAGTTCACTCCGGCCAAAATACGCCGTAACAATGCCGACAACTTGGAACTTGGCAATCTTTAACAAGTAATTGTATTTTTACCACACCCACAACTTCTTAATGAACTTGGAAATATTTCGCAGATCTCCAGTATCATCAACACAGAACACGCGTTCGGCGTATACAAACTAAAAATATATGATTTCTCACACTCGCAGCATTCTAAACAAACAGGAACAGTGCCACCGAATAATTCATTGATATTACAAACCAGACAAATCCATTAGGGAAACAGCGCTTCGAAGGTAAATATTTGCCAGGACACTGATTGTCTCGTAATAGAGGAATACGGTGTATTATTTAAAAGGATAGTATGATTTCTTAAGTACATACGTCGGAATTCCTACATTAGTTTTGAATCGCCGTTAAAACCGACTCCATCTACAGAGGTGTCAAGTTACCCTGATAGAGAGCACACTGGGGCGGTCCGTCAATATTTTTTTCAATGCTTAAAGGAGTTATCTAAAGATAATACAAAAAATTAAAGCGAACAGTCGAAATCACTCGAAATTTCAATGAGTTATAAAGGATGGAACCAAAATATTTTTGGACAGTTCCATAAAATAAACAGGACGCTCCATTATACGAAAAAATGCTTATTTTTTCACCTTTGCGATGTTCATTTGTTTGATATGTGAAAATTCTAGCGCTTCAGGAATTTTTATATTTAACATTTTTTTTCAACAGCTTTAGGTGAAACTGCAATAAGAAAACACGCTGTATACGATAGGCATTCGCAGAAAATTTGCCAGGAAATATAAAATTATGAAATGTTTTGATTTAATGGAGCGTGTGTTCATTCATTGGATACAAAAGTCAAGGAAGGGCAAGGGCAAACAAAAAATTAATGATTTAAACCAAATTTCAACTTATAAAAAAGCAAATTAAAAAAAATATTTTGCTAATTCACTTGAAAGAAGACATACATAATCCATGTCTGAATCTGCTGAGTACATATCTGACGCTTCTGAATCTTCAGTCTTTATAAGCTTTGAATAGAAAAAAAGGTCTGAAGATTTTTTCATTAAAATAATTTCTAAGAGCGATTTTTTATATATTATTAACGGACATGGGCAAACGTAGGGGCTAAAATGCTTTATATTCTAAATTTTAACAAATGTTCAACTTTTTCGATGTTTTCGTTTCTTTTCCTAATTCTCGTACAAAAATCGTTTTTTCCGCAACCTAATTTTTTCAGATATTTTGGACTTCTGATCATCATAAAAGATTCATAAATTCAACATTCAAAGTTGTATTCCTAGTTAATTTTCCACCAGAACTTATTTTTTAAATTCCTTTGCAAATTTTAGTTTATAAAGAAATGGTTATTGAATTACCAACTAATTCGAATGCGAAAGAAGAAAGTCTAAAGATTATACTAAAATCCTTACAATTAATCTGATAAAGTCATGTATATTCTCTTCATGCAGCACTGAACTACACCCGCAATATCAATGGAACATTTTATATCTCATCCAGATTAATTATATTAATCAAACAACGTAAAAATAGTCTATCCAAAATATTAATGAAAAAAAAAATGTACCCAACATCTAAAAAATCAAATAATGTAAAATTCCAAAGAGATTACTTATCTCTTTGAGGTTGTAATGAACCACAATAGATGAGATTATATGTACGTTTGTTAAATTTTGCTTCCCAAAACCTGTACCAATCATTTAGATAATCTAGTCAAATATTTGTTACTGAATAATAACTCCTTATTTATTTTAAATACGTGAGTGTATTTAAAACAAACTATTGGTATACAAGCACCATAAACATGTTTTTTGAACGCGGGATCTTTCCCGCTTTTTTGTTTTTAATTTTCCAAACTAACGCTAAGTCATATTCCCCTTTCGATACAATTCGAGGCTTTTACTGCAACGTAACTAGGGGAATCCGCAACCCACGGCAACACGAATTCAACCCCCAAGTTAAGTCGGATCGGGACGCCCCTGCCGTGCGGGCCTGGCCCTGCCGCCCCGTCGCACATCTGGACCGACCCGCAGCATCTCCAGAAGCACGGCAAACGAGAAAACGAAGCCGAATAACGACCGCGTGAAAGCTTCTCGTCCGTGCAGAAGACCCGCGTACTCGGCGGCCGACCGCAAAACCAACAAAGCAGACTTACCGGGTAGTACATTCCCTGAGGAGGAAGGAAAAAAGCGCCGGCACCCCACAGTTTGGCTGCTTTCGGGAACAGTTCACTTAGGAAAACACTGCACGAGGCAAAATGGAATACTTTCGAGTTATTGGCACTGGTTGCGGTGGTGGTCGAGCTATGCCCGCCTTGTTTACATCGGCTACTCCTTTCAGATATAAAAAGTAATGTATCTGTGTTTGGTATGTGGCCTGTCTGAAGAACAACGCCCGAACAGATAGGCAGGGTGCTCTGTCTCAACTACCCTGGCGACTTAGCTGTTGAAGCGGCCGGCAGAGGCGGAGGGGCACATGCTCGTGTAGCCTCTGGGTATATGGAGGTGGTGGGGTCGATCAATGAACGGAGAGGCAACGCGCGCATCGCCAAGACTGAGGGATATCGTCAATTCGACTGGTTCGAAGAGCAACAGAATCGCAACTGAAGTGAAGTAAAATAGATAAAGGTAAATATGTATGCAAGGCATAATTTTGGGGAAATACTAAGTCAAGATAAAATGAAAACCTAAAAATGTTTTTTTCCATTTATACAGGATTTTAAAGTAGTACTTACCAAATCAGTTTCCTTATTAAAAGGCGGAGAGCTGATATTTTGCTTTCACATTTTTACGATACTTTCAGTAAAGCCATATTCATCTACTTTTCTGTTAGACATAAGCAAGGCTAATAGCTAAGGTATATTGTAATAAAATATGTAGTTGCAAACTAAAGAAATTATTTGAAACAAGACGTCAATACTGTTTTATAAATTAATTTTTTTTTATAGGTAAATGTAGTCAAACTCGTAAAAAATTAATTCAGTCTTTGTTTAATCGACTTTTTTTATTTTAATTTACATTTTATACAGGGTGTTAGAAATTTGACTGCCTTAATTTTGAACAGACTATAGAATACAATAAAATAAACAAAAAAAACCTTATATGACGGGTTCTAAACTAAACCATTTCCGAGAAAAAAATTATCAAAATCATCAACTTGATGTACAAAAGTTCTATTAATTAAGGAATATTGACATAACTGCGAGCATGGAATACCATAAAATATAATGTTTCACTTTATTAAACTTCAATTATGCTTAATTCTAAAAAATAATTAGCGTTGTAATAAATTTAAAATTCGATAAAATTCATATCGAGCAATGTGACAACGGCGAGGTGTTTTATTAACACGAGGTACTAAGGGGTCCAGCAACCACCAGTACCAATTCAGTTGGTATCTGGATTCGACAGTGTTGGAGTGTTTTTGCGTACCACTATTTCCTCTTCTTGAAGTGTTTTCCAGCGAGTGCGCGAAAATTGGATTCGAAGGTGTCGTGCATGCATCGAAAATGGTGGCGGACATTTTGAGCATATGTTGTCGTTTGTTTTGTATTTGTGCATTTAAAAATTACTGAATTTTGCTTTTTGGTAAGTACCTATATTATTTTTAATACGTATGATTATTTGGACGACGTGAATCTTTGGGTACTTTAATTACATATTTTTGAAATTCATAATTTGATTAAAAGTTAAGTTCCTGTTTTAAGAGATTCATAATTACTAAAATTCGAGCTAAAATTTAAGCACAACAGTATCTTCGTACTACATTTTATTTTATTTATTTAAAAACTGGAAAACAAGTGTCTTGAAATTTACTAAATGTTTCACAACAATAGTTGTTTACATTTTTTCCGTAGGACAAGTCCGTCGCGTGCACAAGTGGTGTGCATCAGTATGTTAAGCGCTGTTGTCACGTTGTGATGAAATTCCCCAATATTAATACTCGCTGTATTTTGAAAACTGTTAATCTTACGCCCTTGTAATATACGACTTTTTTGGTTCGTTTATGATTACACTATATCATGCTGAGGTAATGGTCGTCAAACTCCTTACACCCTGTATGGTAGAATTATTTTAAAAGGTAGTTGAATGAAAAATCGCCTGTTTTGTGACAAACCGCCGATCCACAATGACTTTATAAAGGACTGTGACGTCAATAGAGGTTTTTGCCATAGATTTGACAGTATAATATGGATGGAATGTAGAGAGAGAGACAGAGGTAAGGGGCCAAAACGTAAAGTGAGATGAAACTAGTCTCGCGTCACGTGACTTAGGGCCTTTGCAGGCTTATCGCACGCGATTTGTTATAGCCACTACGTGGTATTAAGTGTTATTGCGTAATTTGCATATAGATTTGACAGTAATTCTTTTAATTGTTGCATTACTACCAAAAGAGGTAGTTTATTTTAAAATGAATGTCGCGCGATTTGCCTCCTAGGTCATGTGACTTAGTAAATCGCTGCAGCTTTTGCAGTTCATTTTGGAACAGCTACAATGCACAGAAACTCGGTTCCATCCATAGTATACTGTCAAATTTATGGTTTATGCCGTCAAATGCTTATTTGACATCAGTTTTGACATTTGACTAATTTGATAATACTTTGGTGATTAGGTTTGAACTCAATTATGTGAAAATAATAGGAGATATTTGCCAAAATTATAATTATATTGGTCATAAGCTTCTATAAACATTTTTTAAATAGAACGTGATCTCCCTTTTTTAGGTAGAATTATATAAATTTAATTATTCCGCGTTATCCACTAGAGGTCGTTACGGTCTCTTAAATAATTTGAAGCTGTGATGTCACATTTGTCGTTTTTCCCCTAGTTTTAGGGCAAAATACTCCGAATTTGCAAACCTACGGATATAGGCAATTTTATATATCTATCGATTTAGTGCTTTTGTGTGTTGAGAATTTCAGACTACAATGAATTTTTCATAAAGGCAAATATAGTAAATCAATGCATTTTCATTTTGCGATGTTATAAAACACTTTTGAGACAGTGGGAGAATTTCCCGGCGGCCGCGCGTCGGACAAAGACAAACGCTGCCTTTGAACAGAGGCTGCTGCATAGGCGCAACACATAACCTCTCAAAATCCCCATTTCATTTTGGAAAATCGAAGTTACCCCGCGTCCGCGACACCCGACGCGACCCAGCATCCTTTAATTAATCCCTTTCAACTTTCTGATGAAATTTAATACATCAAACCGGGAGAGAATGCTATTAAGACGCCGCCCGACGTCTTTCGCACAAAGGGGACCCCAGCAGTACGTTCCCGGCATCGATTTCTGCGGCGTGGGCGAAGGAAATTCGAAAACGAAACAATGCCCCCCGTTTTGGCGAAAAGGTACGGGGCCGGGGAACATCCCCGGCCGCCCTCTGGGGTTCGCCCGCCCCCACGCAACGTGTCTGCGACTAATCTATATTCGGATGAGACGTGAGCAACTTCTAAAGCAGGAGCGGATCGGTTTCCCGCAGAAGCACGTATCCCGCTGTATTATCGGATGGGGTCTCTAGGCTGGATTTATTTTTTCTGACTGTAGGATTAAAGAATTTATGCTAAAAATGTGTCTTATAGAGTAACCCGTTTATATCGCAAAAAAGGAAGAAAAACTGGAGTATGAGGTGTTAGTTGCTCTTAAAAAAATCCTAGGGGTAGTTATACAGGGTGTTCAAAAAGTTTGGAACCCCCTTCTATCTCAGAAAGTACTGCTCAAACAAAAAAATGATTAGGACAAAAGTTGCAGGGTTTTGAGTGAGCAATGACCTTGAAGGTTATTTAGAGGTCAAGTTGAAAATTTTAAATGGAACCGTATACTTTTGACCCCGAAAATGGTAAGAGCGGAAAATTTTACGTTCGAATGTGACCTTGACCATGACCTTCAAGGTCATTTAGAGGTCAATCTGAAAATTTTAAATAGAACCGTATATTTTTGACCCCGGAAAGGATCTAATATATTAGACTAAATATTTGATTCAAAAAGTTTTCAAATTGACCTGTAAACGACCTCCAAGTTAGTCAAGGTCACCGTTTGATTGCTCACTTTTAATCCTAACATCTCAGTAATTTTTCCACTGATGAGAACTTTCGGAGACAGGCTGTTGGAAATACTGTGGCCATTTCCGGGGTCAAAAGTATACGGTTCCACTTAAAATTTTCACCTTGACCTCTAAATGACCTTCAAGGTCATGGTCAAGGTCAAAGTCCCCGTTGGATTGCTCACTCAAAGCCCTGCAACTTTTGTAATCATTTTTTCGTTTGAGCAGTATTTTCTGAAATAGAGGGGGGTTCCAAACTTTTTGAACACCCTGTATAACGTTCTTCTCATTAATGCAGCGTTTTCGAGATACGGGATGTTAAAGTTGTTACTTTGAAGAGAGTTTTTCTTCATTTGTACACGATTCAATATCAACTGTCTTAAGAAAAATGTACAAACCATTTTATTTCCAACAGCAGTGGCGCACAGTGATGCAAAGCGACATTTTTCGTGTCAAAATTCACTCGACAGCCGCATGAGGCTGAAATTGCTTATTTTTTTTAAATACATTTCGGAGACTGTACTTTTGCGGATCTCTGCAGGAAATGGGTATGCAAAATCTAGACGACCTATCGGAAAATTAGTAATTTCATGTTCTAATCAATTAAATTACCTACAATTTAAGGTATCATAAGTCATATTTCACCAATTTGTTAAAGGTTGAAAGCGGAAAAATCAGTTTTCGAAAATTGCGAATTATTATTGCAAAAAGCGATGGATCTTGATGAAATTTATGGAAAAGGCGGTCAATCCAATGTCCAACATGTGTGCCAAAGGCCGAGTCTATTGACCGTGAAATTTTTTGCTCCAAGTATTTGCTAATTTCGTTCATTTTTTGCAACTAATTGTTTAATTACTAATCGTTAATTTTAGAAGCTAGTATCGTGGGTTCTAATTATTGATCCAAAGAAACTAATAAAGTAAGGCGTGCAAAACAGCGTTATAAACAAGTTGTCCCAGGGTCAGGCAAAAGCAGCTCGGGAATTCGCTCTTTTTGCATTAAATAGAGCTTATTTTTTCGGTAATTAAAAAAAAAGAGAAATCACCTACGCTTATTTATTCCCAATATAACTTTTTTTTATAACGTTAATTGTTAATTAACTACTGGACGTATCGCACCGGGATTTTAGAGACAATTAAAGAAAGGGTTAAGCTTTTATTTTCAGAAAGTTTTACATTGATAGTTCATGTAATAAACGCGCTAGCAGCAGTAAAAGTTAACGTTAATGAACGGCCTGCATAATCATGTTTATTTAAAAATTACACTTGAATAAAACGTATTTTAGTTTTGTACTTTGTTCCCTGCATAAAAAATTAATTTGTGATAACGTGACACTTAATTCATTTTTCAAGCCAAAACTTTTGTCAAGAATGTCTTTTTTCGTATCTTGCAAAATAAGGTATGTTTACT